GTAAGACAAAATACTTATTGAATTCATACAGAAGAATCGATGCAAACAACAAGGTCATAAGAAATTGCCAAGAGGCTCATTAATAACATAAGAATTTAAAACGCTATGGTCAGCAAAGAACGGGGAGGTAAAATGTTGGGAGGGGAAATGTGTAAACAGGGAGCCAATGTTACCACAGCAGAGTTACGTTCACTACATGCTCCAGCTGTTTACATAGGTCGGATTAGAACCGCCGTATGTAAGCTGCCTCCAGATAGCGTAAAGTACGAGTTGTTCGTGCCCGAACAAGTACTCGGAAAAAAGTTTTGGGGTCAACAGAAAGGCCCGTGTTTAGCAGATGATCAGTAATCGATGACCAGGGAATTCTGTTTTCTTGTTTCATTAACCAGCCAAGCAAATGCTCCTTAGCTCTGGCGGCCAATTGCCGTTGCGTTTGCCCTATGTACTTACATCCGCAAGTGGACGTAGATTCATAAACACAGTTTGAAGTGGCGGGCAACGGCAAAGCATCCTTCGCATAAGGAATTGGTAAAGGCTTTCTTGGATCGCAAAGTATGAGGTCGGCAGCATAGTACGTCCTTTCAATGGCGTTGTGAATGCGTCTTTTGATGGTATTCCGAATTTTATCGCCCTTAAAGTGCAAGGAAATGATAACGGGCTTTTTAGGTGTTAACTGCTGAGTCAATTAAGGTCATAGAGGTTTACTACACTTGTCTATAAACTGACTTGGATATCCTCGCTTCAAGAAGGTGCCTTTAAGGTTGGCTAATTCATCATCCAATGTATCCATGGAACATATTTTTTGGTCCTCTGGATCCGATAAATCTTGCTGTTTTTACTATCTTTAAATTAAACGTTTACCTCATTGGGGAACATACCAGAGATTTACCAGAAGCTCATTTGATCCGTTGATGAACGATCATCGACAGCTAGCGGAACTCACTTGTCCCGCTATGCCTTGAGCCTTATTTGTTGGTCCCTGAGAGCAGCCGTAGCGGCTACTAGTCTTAGGCAGATAGTAGTGCCGGCAACACCATCTGCTCATTTGATCATCAGCAGGTTGAGCCGATGAGCCATTTCACTGACCCCCAGGAAAACCATTAACTTATCAAGTTAGACATTTATTACAGAACAATGCGGATACCAGACCACAAATCAATAAAACCCATACTATACAGCAAACGAATGCCCTAAATAGAAAATTATGTAGTATAAGCTTGCCTCATAGATTTTCGATATCATTATACATTTAGGCATATTTTACAGAAACATGCATAATAAATATTCTTTATTGTATTCATTTCGTAGCAAACTGAATTATTGAAGAAAGGGTAGGTCAAGGATTTACAAACGTTTATAATAGAGAAAAATTGAAGCCAATAAAATTTCCATTCGTAAAGCATCCTCCCTGTCCATCTGTTAACGCTGCCCCATGAAGTGTGCGTAAAGGTTAGAAACCATGAATGTCAAATTGTTAGGAATAAGCGAGCGCTTTTTTAAAAACGAAAGTTAAGAGTTTAAAGAAGGCGTAATTTGCTACCAAAAGGGCACAAAATAGAATATTTCCCAAGAAGTTTTCTATTACCATTATTTCAATTTATAAGGGCATGGAAAATCAATGCGGAATATTTATGCTACATAAGGCGTCATTTTTAAAGAATATGGTTTTTGCAGGAAACTAAAAAGAAGGCCGTTGAAGAGCAGGCTTCCTGACGTGACTGAAAAATTCTTGGATAAGTCTTAACCCGGAAAACGTTTGCAGAAGTGGGCAAATGACTTTTTAAACTGGACCTTTTTTTTACCATAATACCGTTTAAACAATGTGGGTTTGGATTGCAGTTTTTTACTTATTTTATGCTATAAATGTTTGCGTCCACGAGAATGGGCTTGACTAGGCCTACATATCGTTCTTATTCACGCAGACTTTAGTCTATTCTGAAGCTTCTACATATTCGGGGGGCTTACTCCAGTTGATGTCTGTATTCAGGACCGGCGGTTTTGTTCGAGTTTTGCTTCAAGGCTCTGAAGGCATTCATATTTCTGAGGCCATAGTAGTAGGCGGAAACACACTGCTTACCTTTGAGGGCTTTATTGCCCTTGAAAATACCACAGCCCCAGTTGCCACTGACAACGGTGCACGGTAGGGATTCGTAAGGAGCCGCCATGTCAGTGAATCCGATGAAAGCCTTTAAACATGAAACAGAAAATGTGAGAGCTCAATGATTAAATAAAGTCAATCTAGCTTCAGAAATAAGTGCTAGTAGCAGTGAAAGTTAAATGTGGTACATCAAATAGGCCTGCATAGCATGAATGTTTAATATAGAAAGTAGATCTCGGAGAAGAATAGCATTTTTAGTACATTAAAAAAGCCAAACCTTATTTAATTCGCGGTAAAGATAGGTGTCTTGAAATTGTGCCGAAGCATTTTTAAAGTGGGTAGCGTCAATCGCTACAATGCACTTTTTCCATCGACTACGGACGTCTCTAAAATCGGAGAGAAAGTGATGCGAACTAGAGAATACATATTTTTACTGTAAAATTTCCTCAATGCAGAGCAACAACCAAATTCTACTGACCGAGGCGAGCGAAAGGATCAGATAGTGGATCTGCAGTTTTACACAGACCAAATAAATATGCATTTAATTCAGGTTTTTTCTGTACATAATGAACATCATGCATTTTGAAGGGTCTAACTCAGTGGAGCAAACAACCTTTCTATTGTTTGAATTGATTTAAACTTCCAGTTGATCATTTATTGAGTTCCATGACCTAGAGTGTCGTGATGAGTCATTTCTGCCGGTTCCAGTCGACTGCCTTAAGTTTATTTATTTTAATGCCATCAATCACTCATTCTTTACTGAGGCTTCTGTAGCGGTTCTGCAGGCCCCTCCTTCAAACGCGAGACGCCGCAGACGTGGTCTCAATCTTTGTGACAATCTTTGTCGTCCAGTCGCTCGACCCAGCGCGATGGCCGATTTCCGCATGCAATGTGCAACCTTTGCCCTCGCGCGAAGGGGGCGCACACACGCACCCCAGACTGGTCGGGCCAATCAGCATCCTAAAACTGACCCACACACTCCTCGTTCTGGGTCTTTGTAACTATCCCCGCACTTAGGACCCACCTAACCTCCGAAATGGTCGTGCGCTCCGAAGTCAAAATTCTTCCTGCTTATGTTCTATTCGTCTGTACACATAACAAACTATTCCGATTACTCTGACCTATACTGACTTTTTCTCTCCTTAGGAAATATGGTCTGAAGATCGCAGTTACAAGGGTTTACCTCTTTTACTAACCTGCGATACTTATCTCTCAATCGGAAACCTGATCAATCTAGAACCAGAGACATGCGTATTTATTTCCGTGTGTCCCCCAGTTCGATGGGTTTTCTGCATCACCTCAGCAAACCTTAACACAACACCTTGTTAGTTCAAAATTACAGAGTCGGACAGGTGCGTACACTAGTGATAACATTCATGCTGCTTCCCCCAGTGAAAACAAAGGCTTATCAAAAATGAACAGAACTCAACTAGACTGAGCACCTACTTTGCCTACCACACCTTCTTGACAGTAGGCGAAGGAGAGGATGCAAAATGTTGTGGGAGGCTGTTCACAATACCGTTGGAATTTTACTTTGTTTACAGTATTTTTTACATTCACGCGCACATTACGGGGTCATCGCCTAAAAATAGACCCAAACAAAGTAAGGCTCGATGGCCGAATTATTTTAAGTAACATAGTGATTGAGAAGGGGGCGCTCTGCCCGTGGATTTTGATTTCCCCGCCTGTCTAAGTGCAAACTTGGCATACTCAAGCCTCCCAGCTACATGCTGACCCCACAGACAGCCATTCATATACAAGCACACTACTTGCAATAAGTGAGTAGACGTTCGTATTTACTCTTTTCGACCAACCGATGGCTGCTCATTTATCGCTTGCAATTACGTAAACAACTACATGTTGAATCCTCATTAGGTATTGGTGCTTTTAAGAAGCCACCTGGTAACCAATAGCGGCTTCAGCGGCCTTGGCTGTATGCGTAACGCAGTAGCCACAGAAACTAAGCTAATGCAGATAGCCGACCGCGCTTATGACAGCAGCTATGAGAAAGGGGAACGCAGCGGATATGGAGCTTGATTCATTTAAGTCTATGCAAATCGACAGCATTAATCCTTGCCCTTACATTAAAATGTAATCCTAAATCAATAAACCTAGAGCTATGCGTTAGTCCTAAGCCAAAGCCCTAGTTATAAGCCAGATGTTAATATAAACACTCAAACCTCCACTCCTAGGTCCTAACGTTAAGTAATATGTACCTGTGATTTGTTTGGGGAATATTTATCTAATTTTATGCTGTTTTTTAAGTTTGAGGGACATCTATTGAGCTTAGCCTGTAGATTACAGTTGAATGTGACCAACGCCTACAAGCTACAAACAATGACTAAAGTTTATAAATGTCAAAGTGACTAAGTGTCTAAAGTGACTTAACCACAATCCCGAGTTGAGACACGCATTTATTTGACCTTCCGCGTATTTGACCGACTACGTCGCGTGTGATTCTTTCGGCTAACCCTGGCTGCGACCTGTGTTTCCTGGAAGTTTCAATGTTTTCATTCAACAATTCCAGATGCCATTACAGCACAACAATTTTCAATTGAAGTAACACCAGAGACTGCATAACGGACGCTGCAGGGATCAACTAGTGCCATACAATCGAAGCAAAGTGAAAAACAGGCTTTCGAGGCTTTTACGTACGGTGAGAAGCAAACTGGCCAATATATCTGATTTTCCCAGCTAATTTACTGGTCAGTCTCTTCTTATAGTAATGAATGAATCGTTGACCTACTCTACGCCAGTTCATCCAAGCTCCACTTTCGGTTCTTTCACAAATTAGCACGCAATCATAGGCAAGAGATCATTGACAACAAAGGCAAGGGAGAGTGGAATAGCTACTTCTCTAGGCGCACGCTAGCGCCACTTCCTTCGC